CATTTTCTAAGTATATATATTAAACAACAGCCACAATGATCAGAGGACTTCCCCACCCACGACGAGTAAAGCTGAATCACAAGCCTGCAGTCACTGCAAGTCGGACCGTCCGGCTACCATCACGCCACGTTACATCTCCAAATCACATGGCTTGCAAGCTTAGGACACACAATGCGGGGCAGAGTGAGGCGACGGCACAACCGTGATGTGAACTGTCGAGTCGATGTTTCGGAGAGTTGCGCAGTAGTGTCGATTATGCATGTTTGCCGGTCAGTTTAATTCACTATTTTTTTTACATGAGCCGTTGTGGCGGTTGCAATGAAAAATAGAAACAAAGCACATTTCACAGTAGTATATATTTTTTGTGTTTCCTTTTTGTCACTGTTTGTTAAATACACACATAGGACAAGACAAATAGCTTCTACAATGAGGAAAATGTTGCTGGTGCAGTCAGTCACGGAAAGAAATAAAAAAATAAAATGAAAAGCTGTTCCTGCATTGACGGGTGAATTGTTTTGCTGCTCAAACGGTTACATCAGCCAACAGAGACTTTCAAGCTACGTGAGGCCTTTATTACATTATGGAGAAGTAATGGGTCACAATCAAGAGCTTTTTTTTTTTTTTTTTCTGTGTTTTTTTTTTTCCATGTATCATAGAACTTTATTACCATTCTGAAAACTGCCTATCTAAACCATTTACCCACACTCACTCATCCATAATCATTCAACTGCTTCCATCACAAAGAAGAAGAAAGAAAAAAAAGAGAAGCAGTCATCCAACTCAAACAGTTTTATAAAGCCGGAAAAAAACCCACTATAAAGTATTACATACTTAAGAAAGATAAGCCTATAACTCTGCAGGCATTTGCAAATGAGTTTCAATGAATGAACCTTTTCCAGGAGGTGCTTCTTTGTGAGGATGCTCCTCATTACTGACAGACTCCTCTCTTTACTACAGGCTGTAGTTGGACCATCCCCGCTGGACTCTGTACACTACGCAAAGTTGGAGGGTCCGAGGTGGGTGACGGGAAGGCCAAGGCTGTCCAGAGGAGCACTGGGACAAAACCTTAATGCTTACAATAAAAAGGCCAGGAGGCCAGGGACAGAGGAAAAAGGGCCAGAGCAAACGGTCCTGGAAACGCAAAAGAGCTCCAGGGAACTTCATCCTTACTTGTGAGGAAATGTGCGGTATCAAAAGTAGATCTGCTTGGCATGTGACGGATTCTGCTCCATGGGGCAGTACGGACATTTCAACCTGAAGACGAGACGAGACAGGGGGGAAGTGTAAGAAGATCCAAGATCATACAACACAAGGGTTTTTTTTGTTTTTTTTTCTTTTTTTTTTTAAACCAAAGCTACTCACACAACCTTATCCTCCCATGCACATATCAATGAATGAACCGGGCTGTATTGCTGACTTACTTCCCAGCGTTAGTCAGTTTGTTGAGGGCATCTCTGGAGATGACGTGGCCACAGATGAGCTTCATGGGAGGATTGCTCTCCGAGGTCTGCTGCCTGAGGATCGGGCAGGCGAACACAGAGTGGTACCAGCACTTCTTCCCAAGGTCGATTTCAATCTACAGGAAGAGACATGATGGGAGTCAGTTGAACGGTGAAAAAGGAGTTGAAGACGTCGCTGGGAAACCAGGAGGGACTTACAGGCAGCTCGTCTTTGTGCGTCCAGACTCCGCTGCACTGTCTCTGCTCGATCACCTGCTTGATGTTCATCAGCACTGGCAAAGCCATACAGCCTGATGCAAAACTGCAGAGAAATAGACATGACAGCAATGATTAAGTCCAACTTTCGATGAAATCATTTAAGCAAACAAGCTACATGGTGATGGCACAGTTTATACTTCATCCTGACTTTGGTATAAATGACTTTGGTAAAGATTGTAAAGTCAGAGATGACTCGTGTGTGTCGTTCGTGGGTTTGTCACCTAACACTGAGTGGAGACTCTACAGAGAGACCCAGTAAAGCGCAGGCATCCCTGGTGAAGATGTTACAGATCTCGGCCCACTGATTTGTCTCCAGCAGACTGCGGTACGGAGAGTTATCGATGCCGTGACGCAGGTACACCAGGCTGCCCATCAGGATCTGAATATCTGCATGGACAAAAGTGTAAAGTGTGGAGAACGACTAAATCAAATATTACATGAGAGTTTTGTGAGGTAAGCCTCAAAATAATCGTGTATTGGCCTTAAGAACACATTCGTTCTTTATTGGTTGCAATTGAGAGTCTCTTAATTATTTCAAGGTTAAGAAAAACAGTGAAACACAACTCAAGTTAAGCATCTTTGTGTGTTTGTGTCGGGAGGTTTCACAATGAAGCCACTGTGTGCCTTCTACCTCTCTGGTGCTGAGAGGCGAAGGGCTGGAAGTGCCGGGCATACTGCAAGGCCTCCATTTGGTTGTTGATTCCCCCACCGAGCAGGCTGATGAAGTACAAGCGGTGCAACTTGAACTCTAGACTGCTGTTCAGGTCCAAAAGGCGCTGCCGATTCGTCACAGCCCACCTAAGAAGACGAGAATAAGTACAGTCAACTATGTCGACAGTGTTCATTTAATCATCACTGTATTCAAAAGGGATGTATTTGGCATGGTCAAAGTAAACCTAATCTTAATGTTAATAAAGAACAAGTTTGAGGAGTCAGCCAGATGGGAGAAGTACCAAACAACTATCTCGTTTATGGCATTTTTCCCCATGATACATTGTATTGATAAAGGTTTTTGTACTTCTTGTCGTGCGTTTTAACGTAAATCAGCTATAACATCTATCTTCATCCATGTGTGAAAATAGTCTGAGTCATTTTATTCTCTTTACAATGATGATGACCATCTAGACACAGATTGTGGGAAAAATAAAACGTACTCTAGTGCCGGTCTGAGGTCCTGCATCCTCAGAGCTTCAAGGATTCTGTTCAGCTCCAGGAAAGGCTGCTTCATACTCATATCTATAACTACACCAGACTCCTGGAAAACAGACAAGTGTATTTTGAATTATCAAGAATTCTTACATTAGTTATCCCGACTTAAAAAAAACAAGGGTTATACCAGATTTGAAGGCCCATAATGTTGCCTCAATTTGCATCGATACATTTCAAATAGGAATCATCTTAAAGCCGTTCAAGCTGCATTTACACCAAAAACATATTGATGGCTTCACGGTTACTGACCTGACAAAGATCCTCTGCTACACTGAGCATCCCTTGTCTGTACAGGTGCTCCACAATTGTCTCACTCAGATATTTCTGTCTCTCCGGGGTGTCCCACACCGTCTCTGCCACCACAGCACTGATCTCTGCATCGAAATTCTGCAGAGAAGCACGTCAAAAGGTTAAGTTTATGTCCGGCCATTGTTAAATGTTAAATAAAGTTGTTTCGCGAGTCCTTACCCTGTCAATGGCTTTGCCCACTTTGGACACACTGCCATGGATGTCCTTATGTCGGGAGGCTAGCATCTGCACGGTTTCTTTGATATTCTTACAACACTGTGCCATAGTCTGAGATAGGACCGATAAGTCTGCATCTTGTACTCCTGCAAGAGAGAAAAAGAAAAAAAAGTCTTCACTCTGCATTTCTACAGTATTATGTGAGCGATTCATTACGATACAGCTCGGATGAAGCGTAAAAAAACAAAGCACCCTTTTAATTGAAATACAAAGAAATTTAAAAAACGCTAAGAAAATATCTTCAGAGTGTTCGGTCACCTTGTGTGTAAACAGTTTTTCTTACCAAAAGTGACTAGCTGTCCTCGTATCTCGCAGACGCTGCGCAGGAGCTCGTCTAGCCTCTCCTCAGACTGGTGGCCGTACATTACGAAGCGATGAAGCACTTTCTCCAGCTCCCGCTCAACACAAGCACACTGTTCCATGGTTCAGACTGGAACACGCACACACACAACAACACCTGGATGAGAGAGAGAAAAAACTACAAGTCAAAGCCATTTTTATTTTAGTGAAAGTACCAATATAGATATAGATAATTTGATCAATTCTAATTAAAACTTGACATTTTTCTATAATTTTACCTTCATACAAAGCACAATAAATCCTTTTTCATTGCAATTATTTTGTTAAGATTTGTGACCAAGATATGTACTAGGTGTGACCTTTAATGTTAAAAAAAATAAACTTGTCAGTGCAATGTCATGGCATGGTAAACTATCTCAAATATATCTTCGGCCAACAGACAGGCACTAGTGATATGTTAGCCCAGCTAATGCATAGATCAGGCTGGAATAATGTATGTTTTCTCTCGTTAGTTTGCAGCTCTCTGTAGTTTGCTGCAGTGGATAAAACACAAAAGAAACTCCTACAAATTTAGATTGTGGACCTGTAAAAAAGATGTAGGATCTGATTCCATTACTTTAATGTCACAAACCAGTTGTCTGCAGTATTTGACAAATCTGATCATGCTGACAATCCCATGATAGTCACACAGCTGTCTACGCTGTGCTACCACGTTTTAAAAACACATTTGACAGCTGGTAGACGTTCATCTTTTTATCCAGAGAATAAAGATGCAAACCGACCCTGAAGTACTGCCCTGATTAAAAGTTTGCTAGCAACCAGCAAGGCCTTTAAACCGTTAAACGCAGGCACTCTGTACTCTGCGGCCTGGTGTTTACTAACGTAAGTCCCACTAGCTCTCAACCAGACGAAGTACAAATTAATTATCTGACAACGAAAGAACATGTCAGTGATTTTGTTAGAGAATCTGGTCTGACTTCGGGTAGTATTTCTTTCTTGTTATAAAAAGCACAAAGTCATTGGTAGGTATAGCTTTACTGTAACTCACCCATTATAAGCCGAATACAGAAAATTTCCACCTAGCAGTAACCGTAATAGAGATAACCAACATAAACGCGAGCTGTGTTTCTATTTTAATATTGAAAATGCCACCTTTCTTATTTGTATTACTCACTAACAATGATAAATACTAAGTGCCACAAACTACTAACTATGTGTTTTGATTCGATGCCGTAAGTTATAACATGAAGGAGTCGCACAGCTAACATAAACAAACGGCGTCAGTGTCTGGCTAGCTACAAAAGCTCGCCATTGCTAGCAGCTACTAGGCTAGCTGTTAGTTGATGTTAGCCAGCTGCTGACTGACAAGGCCCAAATTATTTCAGGAGAGAATGACAACCCGCTTGTCTTCATTGTTTTGCATCATCCCAACACCTGAAACATCTATCGCCTTGAACCGAATTGTAAGATACGTTGAAATAAGCACCACTCACCTATCCTGCTAATTAGTTAGCAAACATTAGCGTTAGCCACTTGCCTGTTATGGCAACACTTCACCAGCAGTCGTAATGCGGATCTTCCTGTGTCGCATTCAGCCTAGACTGGACATTTCACAATAAAAGCTATTCTCTCTGCGACATCAAACACCAGCTGTCCGCGTACAATATGATTTCCACGTTCTCCCTTTTGCACACGGGCGTCTTGGAGCTGTCACAAGTTATCCCTTGAAGGCTCAGTAAGGATACTGTATGTATCAGCATGTAGACAACATTTTAATGTTACAGCTGGTCAATGTAGAGCTCATTTTAACTACTTACTCGGGTAGTTTCATCAATCATGTGTTATGTATGTAAAGTCTTGAACCGCAAAATAATTAATGTTAGTATAGCATGCATATCTATACAGTGAAGTAAACAAATACAATATTTAAGGGAGTGGAGTTAAAGTATAAAGTACCATAAATAGAAATATTCATATAGAGTACAATACCTCAAAATTGTCCAACACTGAAATTAAAATATTGCGAAGTACTCAGATCCTTTACTTAAGTAAAAGTACCAATACCGCACTGTAAAAGTACTTCATTACAAGTAAAAAAGCATGCATTGAAAAAAGTACTCTCAGAAAAAGTATTAAATTTTGTTCAACTTTTGTTTGAACCTCAAAGTTATTCAGTGCAACGTAATTTAAGACAAGAAGCAAAATTAATAGTAAATGTACATAGTTACATTCAGCACTGAGTATTAGAAATGTGGCTTGTATAGAGCCTGGCTAAAAGAGGAACTAGGTCAGTTTAAAAAAAAGGTAGATTTGACATGTGATCTTATGTTTATATTCTTTGTCATAAAATACTGGCATTTAAATAGCCATCATGATACTGAACCCTTGTTTAGCATCATATCCCACAAATAGAACACAAGCAGAAAAAGTATGAAGCATGTTTATTTGTCTTCATACATATGAAAGTGCTGTTGTACTTTTGTCTGCTTATAGATGGCCCCCGCAGCGTATTCTTTATGCACAACTTTATGGTGTGTTGCATTGCTGAGGGTGGGTGAGGTCTTTGGACTTGTGCAGGCTGGTGTGACTAATCTATCAGTGATCTACACTAAAGCTTCTCATTGCTGAGGTGCTCATCATTCTTTCCCTCTGAGTCCTCCACCAGCCTACTGCGCTGCCATTAACCACAGAGGTTCAAATATATCAGCACTTCGTTGCACTTTAGTTCACACTATCTCTTACCCAGCACACATGCATGTTGGCCTCTCCAACCTTTTGAAACTTTACAGTTCTGAATGATCATGTTTTATACTTTCACTCTGCGTTTTTCAAGTAATATCAGTGTTTATTTATAACATAATGCGATAGTGCTTACTGGATGTTTTGTAATCATCCATCTTCTCCTTAGTGCCTAGAGTTTAAAGCGATGATGATTTATGTTTGCCATGTCATTAGAGCTTCTAATGAAATATGAAATCATTTACATGATATCTCTAAAAGTGGTTTGTAAATTAATGAGTTTATACAGCATTAATGATGTAAAAAAAATAATAGTATATATCTCTGTGAAAGAGACAACTCCACCAAGGTTATGGACTGAGTTCCTATTTTGGCCAGCCACACTAATAATATGTGCACTTGTGGCCATGTGTGACATTTCAGACAGTAAAAGGGGACAAATTACATATGTATAATGCCATACGTTTAATAGATAGTTGACTTTTTAGTGTTGTATCAACTGCTTGATTCAACAGATATACCCTCAGTCATAGCACTAGCTATTTAGTTGGGCTGCAATCAAAGATTTTCCATTGGCTTTCCCTGAGAGACTTAATGACTGAGAATGAATGGTAATCTCATGAGGTATTAGGTTTGGGACAGAGGGTTTACCATCAAACATGCCCAGACAGCCACAACGTGGCTTAGAGGCTCCTGCTATTGTAGCAACAATAATAAGTACAGTGAAATAGCATGATTGCTTTTCATCAAACGTGTTGGCATATGTTGTTGAATGACAAGAAAGCTTAAAAGTGAATTTGAAGCAAAAAAATGTCCAATGGCGGTAGTGATCCTGCATGGAACATAAAATATCCAGACATGAAAAAGGAAAAATGTGACTTAAAACATGTGAAAGCACTTTAAAGAATGTTATCAGCTACCATGCCCAGGAGTTCTGCATGTGAGCTGTCAAAGTTGGTCTATGTTAACCTTTGACCTGTTGTACCCCAGTTGCACTTTAAAGTAGCATTCACACACACATACAAACCCAATCATACATACATTCCCCACACCCTCAATGTTAAGTATAACCTCACATGTGAGGTTAAGTGGACAATGTGTGGGCTGTACTTCAAGCTTTGTATTTCCCCTTTCTTTCCCCACCAGCGTTCCCAGGCGAGAAGCTGAAGCTATGGCTATCTGGCCCTGATAGTATGGGTCTATATATAGACGAGCCTGTGACTGATCTAGCTGTAAGTGTCAGATTCCAGGCACACTCATCTATCCTGGCCGGATCAGCACCTGCTTCTAACTATAAACCCCCCACCCCCCAGTGCCGCCCCCCTAGTCCAGCTCACACAGGAAAGCCAATGTCCAACCAAACCTCAGCCCGGAGAGAAAAAAAAAGATCCAGGTTACTCTGTAAGCAATTTCCCCGAGGCCAGCTCAGAGGGGAGTGGCCGAAATAGAGATGGGAGCATTGGAAGATGTAATGGGTCTGAGTGAGATGCCTCTCTTTGCTTTTTCTATTCAAGTCTGATACATGGCAGTGCATTTACATTCTGAAGTTGTCTAGCCAGTGTGGCTCTGCCAGTCTGGGCTGTACAGAGCTTCTCAGTCCTGGATCGGGTCTTGCAAACGAGCAATGTGCTGTGGATTTTGAGAGACAGTTTGGTGGATGTGGGGCAGATATTGCAACACAGAGGAACTCCATGCCCTCGGTAAAGCCTCATCATTGGTCGAAGGTACAGTACCAATCATTCTGTCTTTCTCTGCTTGCATGGGGAGCAGGTTCTCTCTCTCTTGTCATCGTACACCAAGGCAAAGTGGAAAGTTAAGATAAAGGGCATGTATTTGGCGGAGCTAATCTAACCATTGTCAGTTTCAATCTAGGACGAATAAATCTCATTCAAAATAAGTTGCAAATCATGATGAAATCTTCTGTATGTTTGTATTGTTTTAATTTCAAGTTGCTTGCTATTACTTTTTAGGACATACCCACAGTTACATTTCTGTTCTGAACCCCTTTTGAGGTTGGCAATATCTCTGTATATGGCGGTTATACTCTGGACAGTTGAGGGTTGAAAGCTATATTTGTTGTTGGCAAGCTAACAAAACAGGAATAATGCAGAGTTAATAGCCTCTATATTTTCTATGAATAAGCTTTGACATCATAATAGTATTCATCAGTGTTGGTGATTTAAATGAATGAGCTGCACACCCTTCAGGTGACCATATCTTACTTCCAGTCCAGGAACAGAGCCCAAAGCAGACCAGAGGAGCAGACTGGACTGGCCACAGTGAGAATTTGGAGCTTGTGGACGAGCGATGGACAGCTGGACTCTCCAGGGGGACAGCTACTCCTTCCTGCGCAGTGCACCCCACCACACCTATTCCCTGTGCCATCGTGACGGCACCCCCAACCACGTTGAACTCTTCGACATCATCAACGTCCCCAGTCAGCGCAGTGCCATTTCCGAGACCACCTGCCTGTGTGACATTTTTGGAGACGACTGTGAGTCACCCTCTCTCTCAAGCAGCCCTGCTGTAGGGGCCTTTTTCCCTCCTCAGAGGGAGGTGGACGGCATAGCTGCTGCATCACCTCTGGTGGATGATCTGAACGACTCTTCGGGCTCTTACCACACTGCACCAGGCTCCAGTGAAGGAGAGGAGGGCTTTGAAGATTCAAGAGAAAGGGTTTACAGCCCCCTGTTGCAGACCGAGTCTTCAAAGAGGAGGCAGCTGGTGGGTGAGGGACTGACCTCAGCGCTTTCAGAAGTTTCTGAGGACAGAAGCCCAAATTTAGAACCAGAAAGTAAATCACCAGTACCTCAGTTTAGTACAGCGAGCCCATCGTCATCAGTCCTCAACACTGGTGAAAGCACCCCCTCTCCTGGACATAATAGGCCCTTTACCCTCGGTACAGAGGGAAAAGCGTCATCCTTGTCTTCCTCCTCAGTTGAAAAAAGATGTTCACCATCATCACCTAGTCCAAGACAAGCTCACTCAGAAACGGATCCAAGAATAACCACTCCCACTTTCAAAGATAGACTTCAGTCTCTATCTCCAAGTCCCTCCCCTGAGCCTAGGAACTGTGTCAGCTCATCTTCCTGTGAATCAGTAAACACCCAGTTATTACCTGAGTTCAGGGACGAACAAGGCTCCCCTGAGCCAAGGAGCAGCTGCTCTAATCAAAAAAGCAGTCCCTCACCTGAGACCACATCTAAAGATTTTTTTCTGGATTTTACAGAGTCAGCGTTTGATTCTGGAGTCACACTTTTATCTCCTTTACCTTCATCCAGTATTACAGAGTTATCATCCCAGTCGAGAGAAACACTGGCCTCTCCTGAGCTGAAGAATAGGCCCTACTCCCCGGATACACAAGCATCATCTCCTTTTTCTGAGCTGAGAGGGAGGGTCTCCCTGCCTGATCTCCTCAGCAGAGGCTCAACACCTGATAACGAAGATTCTATCCACACCCCTGAGCTGATTTCAGATTATTCCACTGCGGAAGGAGACTCTACGACTACTCCTGAGAGCCAGGATACAGGAGTCAGTGCTGTATCTACACCTGCCCCACGACATACACCTCCCACACCTGTTATTTCAACAACAACATCTCCTGAACTTGTGCAGAGTAGTGTCTCACCTGAATTGACACACAAAGCTCCCTCACCTGGCCTGCTCTGTGCTGCTTCTCCAGCTAAGACTGGGACAAGAACTCCGTCTCCCGACCCCTCGCATAAAATTAGACACATTTTAACACCTCCTGAGAGCAGGACCCAGGTTTCTTCACCTGTGGTAAATTATAGCTTATCTCCATCACCTGAAGTTACGAGCAGCTGCTCTCCCACAGAGCACAGATATACTGCTCCCTCACCTGAAATTAGGATTACAGCTTCCTCCCCTGAGGTCAGTAGGAGAGAGTCGTCTTCTGAAGTGGAAACAACAGCTGCATCTCCTTTCCTAGATCCTCACTTTGACGTTGCCTCATCAAGAAGCCTCACTTCGTCCCCACACATAACAGGGATTTGTTACTCTGTTGTTCAGCCCGAGGACAGGGACACTCCCCCATTTCCCGAGCTCTCTCGTCTCTCCACCCCAGAGCCTGATAGGACACTTGTGTCCCCTGAAGCAAGGAGCCCTACCCCAAGCAGTATACCGAGCAGTATAGCAGAGTCCACCAGTTCACCAAGAGATTCACCTCATATACCGGGCTTCACAAGCTCTGTCCTGCAGCCTGAAATAACTCTGTCGCACCAACCCAGGTATCAAACACCTTCACCTCAGCTAGAGCATCACACTCCCTCACCTGAGCCAAGATATCAAACCCCTTCATCTGACATGTATCAAAGTCCCTCGCCTCAGCACAGAAGTAGAGCTCCATCCCCTGTTGCCCCATCTCCTGAGCAGACGTATCATCAGCATTCACAAGTGACCCTCTCTACTGAGCACAACCCTGATTGTACCCGGCCTACTCCTCCTCTAAGAAATACACCTGAGGTTGAGGGGGATTCCTCTTCAGTTGATATTACAGAAAAACAGTACCCAACACATTTGGCAAAAGAGAGTGTTTCACCCGTATTTAAACAACAAAGCACAGAAAGAGAAGCAACACCAAAGGAGGCAAACCTTCAGGATAACTCAAGTTTCCCAGAGGAAAAACAAACCCTTGGCCCCACCTTTGGTCAGAAAGAAAACACTTATAATAATCTCCCCATTGAAATAAAGTCTGCTTCTCCTAATCTTCTAGTCTCCAAAGACAGGAGTCCAGGTATTTCACCTGTCCACAGGGCTGCAACCACCTCACCTGTGCAGAGACTGGAAACCGCACAGCCTCAATTCACTACGTACACCCTAACTTCTGAAAGCAGCAGCTCATTGAAATCTGCCTGTACACCTGAGCCTGCAAGAAGACAGCTGTTGCCCAAAGTTAGACAAGAAACCAGAGAGAGTTTAACAGAGGACATGGCCCACCATGTAAACAGAAGGCGGACTCCCTCTCCGCCACTCACCAGGTTTACACCTGTCCACATCATAGCCCCTGAGAAACCATACAGACAGTGGCAGAACAGAAGCAGTAGCCCCTCTCAGGTTGTAGCATCCTCACCGGGTGGTAATTTAAAGAAAGTGACGACAAACAGGGAAAGCCCCAATGTTGCCTATGTGGACAATAATAGCCAGGCCCATTGGGTCAGGCAAGGCAGGCAATTGGAGATGGAGCTGGAGGAGGAAAGGGAGGTAGGTAGGCAGAGGAAAATGGATAGGGAGATGGAGAGAGAGAGAAAGAAGAGGGAGGAGCGGGTTCCTGAAAAGGGGAAGGGTGGGCAGTGGGACGCCAGTTACAGAGGGGAACAGGTTGAACTGTCATTCAATGCCAGGAATAGAAAAGGGCCTGCGAGTCGCAGTACAGCTCCCACAACCAGAGAGACCCGCCAGGGACTGCCAACAGTGCATTCTTACTCAGAGAGCTTGCCTGCCACCAGACAGCTACAGCAACAACAGAGTCTGCTTAGAGTTGCTTCCCAACAAGACAGCAGGGGTGGTGGTCCTAGCAGACGGCGTCAACCTCCTTCACCACACAACAAGAGCAGTGTTCCTGGACGCGTGGCCGTAAACAGGCCCTGCCGGAGTTCCAGCTCCAGCATGGGAAGTGAGCTTGATGAGGCAGACGATGAGGTGAAATGGTTCACAGACTTGGCTTTCAGCAGCCTGTCAAGCCCTGAGGTAGATTACCTTGACATGTACAACTCCAGCCAACGTTCATCTACCAACATTTTTCAACCATCTACACAGGAGAGCCCAGCCGGGGTCAGTGCCGCCTGGCCGGCCTATGCTGACTTCAGGGGTTCTGCTCCCAGGCTGGACAATGATGAACTCTCCTTCCAGCAACCACTTGCATACTACTCAGACAGCCAAGATCCATCAAGGCGCTATGAGATGGGCAGCTTTGAGTGCGTGGATGTGGCCTTGGAAAGAGAGGACTCCAGGAGAGTGAGAAGAGGAGTGCCAAAGAGACAGATCCAGCTGAAGAGAATGAGTAATGCTGAAGGGAGGCAGGATGAGAGCAGTGAAAATAGTAGTCCTGGGTTACCAGTGATGGTGGAAAGCCCCTCTCTAGAGAGTCATTCCAGTGAGACGTTCATGAGACAACACAGTACACCAGCAGCAATGCAAGAATGCTACATTTCTGAACGCAGCCGTAAGCGCAATCAACAAAATGAAAGAAGATCCAAACTCCAGAAATCTGCTTCTCTGGATGAAACATGCCCTAAAACCAAGATGGCCACTTCTCTCATTAAGAGTGTGTTGTCCAAGAAGATGGAAAGTGTTGACAATCAACCTGATGAGCAGGCAGGAGAAGAAGTGAGCCCCGCTTTTGAGGAAACCAGACGACCAACAGAAAGCGCAGCGGCACCGCTCAAAGAGTCCCCACTACCTGACCCACATAAACTTAGTTCCAGTCTTCAGTCAGATCACAGTCTTTCATCTGAGGGTCTCCCTGCGAGGGCAGAGCCTAGCACAAAGGATGAAGCCAAACCACCAAAAAGCTTTAGAGCGAGATCCAGTAACAGGCCAAGTTCATCCAGCAGCAGCCGAAGTGTTAACTTTTCACTGACCGAGAGTGAGGAGGCTGATTGTCAAAGCACGAATGCAGCCTCATTAAGATCCGAAATGAGATCAGAATTGAAAGTGCCGTTTGATAGTAAACAGTCAACAACTGGAGTACAACGATCTGATGACAGTGAGACATGGGACGGAAGAGAGGGTGGTGACTCAGCAAATGCCATTGCCGGGAACTCAGGAGCTCCTTCTGCCACAGGAGCCAGCAGCATGCAAGTCAGGGTGACAAACAGAGACCAGGAATGTGAAAACACAGAGGACCATAAACAACTGCAACCAGATGCCAAGGGCGCTTACATGTCACAAACACAGGAGATTAAACTCAGAGCCGTGGAGAAAAAGAGAGCCTCCCTAAATGTCTGTCTCACACCTGAGGCAGAGAACAAACCTTGGGCTTCTTCACCAGATTTGAAGGAGGAACGGCTAGAGACCAGTGTGGATGACAAAACAGAGGAAGAAGAAGGAAATGGGTATAATAAAGTTAAGGTCCCCATTCACAAAGTTAGAGATGTGAGGCGGCTTGTAAAAAATACATATAACCTGTCCTTCAAGGCAACTAGTGCTGTAATGCCATCAAATATGGACGAAGAAAGGATGAACACTTTAAATGAGGATAGGAGGGAAGAAATCAAAGATGAAAGGAGGGAAGAGGTCACAGCACGGGAGGAGAGGGAGGTAAGGCAGGAGATAAGGAGGGAGGAGAGGGAGGAGGAGTACAGGGTGGAGAGGAAAGAGGAACAGAAAGAGGAGGTAAGAGACTCAAAGCTGCTAACCTTATCTCCACCTCTTCAGAACAAAGGAAGTCCTCCGTCTCGTCCACAGCCGATGCAAATACAATACAAGGCTGTTTGCTGGAAAGAAGACAAAAATAAAACGTCACGCAGCAAGAAAGACCCAGAGAACCCAGGTGACAAACCCCAGGCTGCTCAAAAGCTCGTCACACAGGTAAGCAGAGAATCACACAACACACTGAGTTACACAACCGGAGACGCGGCAGTTGCAAAGTCATGTCAACGTGGTGTGAACATGGCATCGGAAACACAAGAAACTATGACGGATGTACGTAAAGTGTCAGACAATGAGGATAAACCTGTGCTGCTTAAGACCGACAGAAAACCTCCCATGCTTGGCAGCCTCCACAAACTGCCCAGTAAGGAAAGAGAGGTGTCCACTGCTGTAGTGTTAATAAGAGATGGATCCAGTAAGACCAAGACATCTGCATCTCCATCCCAGGAAGAGATTCCCACCCTAATCCAAGCCCCAGCTGCTTCACACTCACCTGGACTCACCCCCGGCAGTAACCATGCTAGCGGTGGCCACTCAGTTTCAATGCTATTAAAAGAGAAAGGCTACCAAGCTGACATTGGAGCAGTGGTGGGTGACATGAATGGACATGGGGGTAAAGGGGTTCCACGTAAACATGTGAACTGCCTGAAGATCCCCCTTCAGACCCCGAGTCCTTCACATGGAGATCGGCTGGAGTCTCATAGAGAGAGGACATTCTCCTCCTCATCCACCACGCCTGGCCCCTCAGCAGCATCTGACAACACAGACACCCTTACAAAGGCAAGACAAGACGAGGGCATTAGCAGTACGCCTACAATAACAGACATAGCAAAGCAAAAAAGTGCTTCTCCGCTAAGGAATACGCAGGAGCAAATACCACCTACCGCCAGACACAAGGAACTTGGAGATTTTGAAGCAGTGAAAAGACTAGATCCAACTTTCCCCCCAAGGTCCCCTGCAGTAAGGAAATTCAAACCACAGGCAATTGAGGTTAAGTCGCTGTCTAAGGAAACACAGAAACAAGAGACACCCACAAACGTTACAGGAAACAGCAGGCCTCAAACCATTGAGGTTAAATCTATAGCTAAAACTTCTCAAAAGCCAGCAGTGCCTCCAAAACCAAGCTGCAAATTTATACCAGCAGATTTAGGAGCAATGCCAAGTGGAGCGCAGAGACCATCAGCAACATCTGTAAAACCACAAGGTGAGGAGAGGCCTCAAACAATTGTTGTGTCGTCACCGACAATCTATAGAAAGATCTCTAATGAGTCCACATCAACGTCAAACTATACAAGAAAACTGGCTGTGTCTGCAGTATCCAGCCTCAAACCTCCATCTTGCAAAGCAACAGCAACCACCATCTCCAATCTCTCAAACCAGACAACAGCATCAGAGACAGAGGCATCTAATAACAGAGGTCAGCAGCAAAGGCCAGGGGCCTCACTTCAGAGTTCTAGATATACACAGAGACCCACAACCTTAACTACAGCTCCAATATCATCCACTGGGCCAGGTTTCACCTCAGCTCAGGGTCCAGTCTCTGACCCCAAATCAAACCCTGTCCCTGGATCTGAATCAGCTGGAGTCAACCAGCCAAGCCAGCCAGCTGTTATGGATCTAGACAGCCAACCCCAGTATACCAGGTCGGCATACCCTCATGAACAAGCTATGCCGGCAACTTCAAACAGTACAAAACAACCTGCAGCTGTTTCCACTACACAAGTGCCAGGATACACACCCCAGCCATGCCGCAGATCCCTCTCCAGCGAGCGTTCCCAAAGGACAGATGACCATCTGTTTTATACCTCAGACGACCCTCCGAGCTACGATGAAAGAGAGAGCTTTAGTCCCCTCATGCTCCCAGATCTGACCTCCAGGAGGTCAAATCGCTATCAACCCTCATCCCGCCCTCCTCCCTGCTCCTGCACAGCTGGCTGCCCTTCCCACCCTGGTCTCACCCCTCCTCACCATCACCACAGCCCCCATAACCTCACGCCTCCTGCCCCGCCACACTCTCCAGGCCAGGCACTGCCTTACCCGGTGGCTCAGCCCCCTCTCCGTCTCCACCAGTGCAGACCTGACGCTCAGCCGATGAGCTACCAGCCCGGCTCTCCCAAATCAAGTCCTCTTGGTCCGAGCCAGCCACCGGCCATGTACCAGCCTCTCCACCAGCCTCCTCCCTGCCCTCCCCACCCCTCACTCATGCAGACCTGCCCTGCTGAGCGCCCGCTGCAGCCACCCCAGCATACTGACCTTCGACGACCCCCTGTCCACAGATCCCCCCATCAACAGCCTCCAGGCATGGCTCCTTACAGCGATCCGGGCCACAGCCTTTCTCCTGGCCTACCTCCAATGGATCCGCAGTACATGTGTGGCCCTCAAAGCCTGGGGCCGTCCTATGGCTCTGAATATGGGGGTGACAGCTCCAGTTTGTACTCAGAGAGCAGCTATGGACAGACACCTCGCAGAGTGCTCCTGGATCCTGAGACAGGGAAGTATTTTTACATCGAGGTGCCTGTGCAGCCACTGAGAAAAATGTTGTTTGACCCAGAGACAGGCCAATATGTGGAGGTGCTCATCCCGCAGCAAGCAATGTCACATTCAGGCCTGTATCCTCCCGCAGCAGCCCCCTACACATCTGTCCACAACCCAAACATGTACACTCCTGCTCCACAGTACATGCCCTATGCAGCTCCTCCTCCCCAAGCCCACCCCCAGGCCCAGCCTCAGCCACCCCGATATCCTGAGGCCTCCACCGCTGCAGCAATGCACCCAGGTGGGCCTGGGGTCAGCTATAGGAATCTCTCCGGTCAGTCCAAGCCAGAGCCTCAGAGCCATCCACCGCTCGACCAGAGCTACCTGGAGAGCATGTATTATGTCCCTACAGGGATGAATGCGAGCCCAAATCCCACCCCACCAGACTATTACCACAAACATCCCGCCAACCTTCCCCCAACAGGGGGGAAAAGGTCCTGAAATAGAGGACAGAGGCCGCCTTCCTGGAGCCTGTTGAGTTTTAAATACACAGTGTATAAAGGAGGTGTCTAATGTTGGCCTGTAATGTTATTTGAGTTTTCACATTGCAACTGAAGCAATTCTTTGGTTGTTGTTTATTTGCTGCTGCTTGTTCTGTGCTGGACTGATTTAATAGCGCAAGATATCTGATTCTTGAGTTAATAGTTTTGAAAACACAAGAGAGGAAAAGATTTTTTTATGAGGTGTTCTTAAATCTAAAAATGATCGATTACAATTTTTGTCACTTTTGATACAGAGTAAAAACATCATAGTGTAAGTTCACCAGTATTGCTCAGGCACGACAAATGATTAGGTTTTACTGACGTGCGTACTTTAACAACAAATATCTCCAAAAAACTTGAAAACACTGTTTTAAAAGAACCTCATGTTTATTTTATTATTGTGTTACTCTAATATTGGATGAGTGAGTTTGTGCACATGATGTCTGCAACAACAATGCCAATAAAACGTATGAAATGCTCTGCTCTCCCATGCCTTCATCTATTTATATATAGATTCTTTCTGTGGTTCATCATATAATTAGGCCTACGGTGTCAAATACTAAAACTGTCATGCAAATATAGTCTCGCAAAAACTTCATATGCAATGGTATTTGAATCAGTAACTGCATTAAACATTGTATTAATTTCAGAATCGAAAAGTGCAATGCATTATTTTAAGGAAAATATTGTAATGCATTAACAAATATTATGAAGTCAGTGGTTTTCATAATCAAATGGTAAACCAAGCAGTGAGAGATATATCTAGAATGGATAACAAAGAGTTAGTGTAACAAGTTTTAGGGTGTGGGCCGTGCACAGACAATAGTGCTGGCACACTACATCACTACATCAATACATCAATACACCAAATGTACACATGTATACCATATAAATGAGGCTATCTTAAAACATTTATGAGTTTAGACAACGCATTAAATATATTTATATATTTCCACTATAATGCATCAAATATTCGACAGCTGCTGCTTTGTGACCAGTTTTGAAAAGAGGCAATTTATGCACCCCTGACATTTTTTTTCTTTGCCTTGAGAGGGCACTGTCACTATTACAACAGCACAAATGATTAATCATAATAATTTATCAATCTTTGGTTGGATTCTGAATTGGATATGATTCGTCACGTGCCATGGAAGTTATTTAAAATGGATATTAACCAGCCATTGCTTTTGCAAGACAGAGAAACCGTTAATATTCAGTATTAAAGAGGTGTTCTCTTACGCTGCTGTGCATTTGTATCAGCACATTGTACAGCTGTGACCACTGGAGGGTGCCACAGACCACCAGAGCAGCACAGGTAGCCCCATCCTTAAGGTATGTCTAAATCTGCTAACCTCTCGTGAGAAGGGCCAGTCACTCTAAAACACAGTTTAATGATTTCCTAATCAAAACCTGAGCCCGTTAACAGAAACCAGGGCCCAATTTGTTAGTCCAGAGGGATAAAATTCATCTCCCCTTTCTTTGATGTGGATGGCAGGAAAATTAATGAGAGCTCTGACCAGTAGCTGAGAGGGGCTTGAGTGTGTGTGGTTGTGTCTGACTGAACAAAACCCTGTTTCATCTGACAGAAGTAACTCAAAGGCCCACAGGCACACATCTGGAGGGGATATAACACTCACAGCACCTGGCAAATTGTGTGGTGTCAGTATATGGGTCTTGGAGACCTATCCACAGCTGTGTATTGTTAGTAATGCCAACTGAATCAGAAGAGAGATGCTGTGATGTCCTACTGATTAGAAAGAGACTGACTTAGTTCCCACAACAGCCAACGTGTTACTAAGGAGGACACTGATCCTGCGTTATTAGGGCAAGTCATATAAGTGAGAAGAAAGGCGGCCCCCATGTTTATCAGTAAAAAGGTAATCGTGGCACAGCAACAGCATGTGACAACAAAACACTAGCGATAGCACACAGGTTCAAAAAAATAATCTTAAATTCAAGATGTGATTTGATAGTGTACCGAAAAATAAACTTGAACTCAATCCACCTCTTTACAACTTCTTCCTGGTCAATGGAATGCAATGTTTAGCTATCAAGTTTATTGCCTTGATCCTGTTTTGTCACAACCTGGATAACAATTAGAGACAGACACACCTTAGGAACACAGTCTAATCTATAAACACACCGGCACACCTAATACTAAATCACTTCCAGACACACACACACACACACACACACACACACACTTCCACACACCTTGGGCCTGTTCCAAGATGCAGCTTTAAGTCCATCTTTTCTGAGTGAAAACCAGAACCCACTCAAATCGAATGTAAAAGGATCTGTTCTGCAATTTTTTAAAGATAATCCATCAAACCTTGAAACAGCTCCTAGCACATTGTGGCTTTATCGTATTTATTGCGAAGGCAGTCTCTGTCTACAAAGACAGACCTTCAGGAAAATGGTGATTGCTATAACTTACAGGTGCTATAACACAATACAAAATATTAAATAACTATAATAATGTAGCCACTAATCATCATAATAAATCAACATTTTCTAGACACATCCTGCCCATCATGCGTGACGATGGTGAATTCCAGTCATACATACACATTAAACAAACACCATTACATCATTAGGACTCTTTCCAGTGCATCTATTATTGTTATGGTTCTGTGACCACTTTTCTACCCCACAAAGTGAGGACTCACGCTGTAGGAGTCCTGTCATCCATGCCGCACCCAGGAGTGAGTGGGATGCCGCGTTTGATGTGGACCCACCGGGGGGGCTGATTGGCCAACGGAAAAGTCCTCTCTACATTGTCTTTCTGGTATCAGGAATGTAGAAAAGAGTGGGTGGCATGGGCCAGGCAGCTAGATAACAAGCAGAGTTTTAAGTGATGATAAGTAAGTTGTTTGGAATAAAATGTGCAATGTACTTCCTGACATTTTCCAGCGCGTGCCCTCTGCTTGTACGGCCAGAGATTAGATGTCAATAGTTTATAGAAGTGGGATTCTAACTAATGGCGACTGTATCGCCGACTCAGAGAGAAATAAAGGAGTGCTGTGTGTGTCAGTCCGTCTGTCCATGACCATCAGTATGTGTGGTGTATCAGTAAAAAAGGAGGAAACCAGATCATGAGGTGAATGTCTGACATTGATATTAGCAACCTCTGGCTGGCTGGAAACCTTTACTGTGAACATAGAGATGCCAGTTTCAGCTGAGAAAGGTCACCAACGTTTTAAAAACCCACCTGATTTGAAACACGCGTACCTGTCCTGGTTTGTTGTGAGTTCCACCTGAGAGCAATTTTCCCCTCTCAGCATCTCAAACTGTTTAATTGGAATAATTGTAAGCTACCAGAAAAGGTCAAACTAATCCAGTATTTCACAAAAAAAGTGACAAAAAGTGAGGAGAGGTCAGAAATAATAATATAATCAAGTAACCCTTCAGAAGAGGGTCCCCGCCCCTAGGTTAGGAACCATATGCTATATACCTAATGCATATTAACTTATATCCTGAAGGAGCCTACATGTTCATACCATACAAAGATTGCACATGTGTTATGAGTGTTTCCACTCCGTATTTGATGTCCAGCAGCAACATGCATTCAGCTCTATATTGGGAAACTGTATTGCCTACTGCCATGTCACCCAGGCACACTTTATTGATCATGACAGACGACATGTGAGGAGAAGACACTTCGAGAAATAGTAGTTTAACAAGAGAGAGCAAACAAAACTCACTCCTCTTTATGATCACTTTACCTGCGCGCTCAGATCAATGCCCATATAAGGCATTTTTTTCCAGGAAGGAAGTGGGCGTGGTTTACGGGCGGCGTGTGTGTGCGTGAGCGTGTGCTGATTGTGACAGCCCGTGAGTGAAGCAAGAGGAGCGAAGATAAGAGAAAGGAGGGTTCACGGTAGACGTCGGTGAACACCTGAAACCGTGCCTTCCGGCATTCACCTTGTTGCCAGGCAAACACAGAGCACAATACTCCGTGTTGCGTGTGCGCCCGTGTGTGTCATACAGACATCCTCTCTCCACTAGGTGGGGTGTACACCTGTCTGACTGCAGAATTCACTTGTCATCTCCTGTGATTGCTCAAACTCCGGTAGTAATATCATCAGCCAGACTTAAGTAGCTTAACATGACTCACCTGTGAGGTGACTAGAACATTTGTTCTTAATTGAAGAAAAAAGGGGAGGGAGTGCAAGTAGTGGAGTACGTTTTTGTGTACTCTTTTTTTTTTTTTTTTTTTTAATTGGTAATTTCTACTCTATTAGGCCACTATTTATCACTAGTTTTGTGCTTCGTTACATTTCAAGTCGCATCTGCTACAGAGTAAAAACAAAAGTCACACAGAAATTCTCGATGAAATGTGTGAGAATTAAAAAGAAGAAATGAGATAAATCAGCAGCTGCAGCAGAGAAGAAGCTGCAGGTGTTTCTGCAGCAGCAGGAGCAGAGCTCCATGTCCAGAGAGGTGACACTCTGATACTTATAAATGTTTAGGTTTAGTCTCGCCAAGTTCACAGGCCGCTGCATAGATTATATTGTTTACATGTCCGCGTTGTCTGCTTTGATGACGTTTTATTCTGCTGTTAATTCTAAAATAAGTTTCAGTTCAGTTTTCAACAACATTTCTGGTTTATTCCGAGGAAAGTAGATGCATATTTATAATTGATAATCAGTTGTGTGCACAGTGCCCGTCTGTTGGTGTGGACATTGTTGCTGATGTTGTTCCACTTGTTTGTAAGTTGACATTTAATGCAGTCTATTTTCCAGCCTACTCTTTAATTTAACATTAGTATCATATATCAGCTCGCCTCGCAGTAACAATACTTTTACTTGAGTACAGTATTCTAGTGCTCTTTCCACCTTTGTTGGTTATCCATGTATCATCAAAGGGTTTTAAAGTTACAATCAGAGTGCAGTCAGAGTGATTTGGATGCTTTTCAGAATGCCTTTCAGAATGCCATCCACATATAATGTAAGCTGGACATTCATGTTTTTCTATTTTTATTTCTAATTATTTATTTTGGCCCAAGTGCTAAATTACACAGAGGAGCTTTGCCTTACATTTGTGTTATATGAGCTCCAACGGCTAAATTATAACAGACTAAAAAGGGCTCTGCAAGGAGATGTTTTCATTCATAGTGGAATTCATTAGTCTAGACTAGTCTAGTTCCTTTGGTGTCCCAGGACCCCTCATGTCTAGGAAGGAAATTGTTACTTATAGTAGGCCTATGAGTCTACTATTCTCTCCCAGACTGGGGCACACTCTCACACACATGCACACACCATACACATGAGCACACTCGCTGAGGATGAGGTAGCCAAAAAATGATGTCATAGCCTGATCACTTTACCCGTCCTCCTCCTCCTCCTCCTCCTCCTCTTCCTCCCATGACCTGGATGGCCGATCAATGAGGAAAGGAAGGAATGAGAAGAGAGAGACTGGGCGTGCATGAGTGTGTAAACGGCCGGTGAGAGAGAGAGGTGAGTTATTGACAGGAACAAACTGTCTGCTGCCTTCGTCCTGAATCACTCAAAGCTGATGACATGTCGAAATTCTTATTGACACCATGCCATGTCAGCTATTC